AGAGAGAACTGCTCTTTCCGTGGCCTGGGCCCTGAAGACTTGGCTGGCTTCCTCTCGCGCCCCCTCCCCCTCGCCTGCTCCATTGGGCTTCCCTGGCTCCTCTCTGTTCCTGGAACGTGCCAAGCGCCTTCCTGATGCGGGGCCTTGTACATGCTGTTCTCTGCCTGTGAGGCGCTCCTCTCCCCTCCCCTCCTCTGCACCCCACACAGTCACCAGCCGGTTAACTCTTACTCACCCTTTGCATCTCCATTCAACTGTCTCTCCCGGGAGCCTTCCCCAGCCAGCCCCCGGTGGAGAGTCTGTTCCACCACCGCTTGTTCTCAGACAGGCCGCTACATCGTTTGCAGGGCCAAATGCAACATGAACAAGCAGGGTGCCTTGTTCAAAAACTACCCTGAGTTTTGGGAAGGGGACAGCAGAGCACTTGGCCCAGCACGGGGCCCAGGGCCCAAGCGATGGCACAGGTCGCACCCCTATGAAGTCAGCTCTCGGGACTTCCTGTGCTGGTCCCTCAGTCCTTCATTACAAATATCCTTGTGCGATTATTTACTTAAAGTTTGTCTATTCCCACGAGTCTAGGAACTCCCCAAGAGCAGGGCCGGTGTAGAATTTATACACAACTCCTGGCGCAGGGTTCAGGAAACATTCTAGAATGAATGAACGGAAAGGGGTGGAGGAGACAGAGGGGGACAAGGAGGGGAGAATGGGAAGATGGGCGAAACGGAGAGGGACAGAAGGAGAAGGAAGTGGATGGGAACCCGCCAAGGACGAGCCTGGGGAGGGGCGACGGTGGTACTCACAGCTGGTCGAAGGGCTGTCGGTGCCGTCCAGTTCTGCCCTGGGGAAGCCGTGCCCGGCACGGGCCGAGAGCAGCGCTGACTCGATGGCCCGCTCGTGGGCGGTGAGCATGATGGTAGGGGCCCGGCCCCCGGCCCCAGGGCCCGACAGGGACTTCTGCATGAAGGCCAGCTTGTCCTTGGTCCTCCGTTTCATGTCATCCCATCTGTGTTTAATGTCCTTGACGGAGCGGGGGACCTGGCTCACGGAGGTGATTTTCCGAGCTATGCCTTCCCAAATCTTGTCCCTGTCGGCATGGGACAGCCGCATGGTCTCCCGCCCAAAGAGAACAGCTTCGTGGTGGGTCACCTCGGTGACCAGAATGTCCAGCTCCTCCTTGGAGAACTTGGGTTTCCGCTTACGCTCAGCCAGGGGTGCCACATTCCTTGGGTTGAATATCCCACAAAGCACAATTGGGTAAATGACCGGCAATGTGGGTGGTCCTCCTCCTTCCTAATGCCGGCCCCCAGCTGGGGAGCCAGGAGGCACCTGGGCACCCTCACCGGCTCACCACCACCACACCCTCCTCCTGCCGAGAGGTCCTTCCACTACTCCTGAGAAGGCGGGAGGCCACATGGCGCACGCACGCGGGTGGGAGCGCTGGACTGAGCCCCCCACCTCCAGTTCCAGGCCCTCTGACTAGCTGTGCCGGCCAAGACGGTTCACTCAGCCTCTCCCAGCCCATTCTCTGCATCCAGAAAGGGAACAGCAACCACGCCAACCTAGGGGATTCTTACTAAGGAGGGGCGGGGGGGCGGGGAGCGCAGGGATGTGAAAGAGCTTTAAAGCCCAGAACAGGAACAAAGGATGCCTACTGGGGTGAGGATAAGGCCACTGCCTCTATAAATGGCTTGGAGGACGAATAATTAAACAGGGAGACTATTCACATGGGCCTTGCGTGGTGTGTGGCCTTGCTGGTGCCGCCCAGAATTAGGGGATGGTCACAGAGAGCTTATTCTGCCCAGTGGCTCTCTTCTCCATCCCCTGCCCCCAAATCCCCGCCAAGTCCCCACCTCTGGGTGTATGCAGGCTCTGATCCAACTGGAGCACTGGCTGGCAGCTGCTCCTCTTGGGAGTTGGCTGCTGTGGCTTTCTGGCAGCTCAGGGATAGAATGTGAGGAGCCCACGAGCGCCCACTGCAAGACGAGTTCTACTTCGATGGAGACCAGGAGTGACCTTGGCTTCCATCTGCATGGAGCAGGCAGGGGCCTTGGCCAAGGGGGCAGCGTGGCCCTTCCCCCTTCTGACCCGGCACCTGCTCTGGCTCTGGAACTCAGTCTCCATAGTAAGGTTCTGTCTACCCTTCAACTAATGCCAGAAAGTCCACTCAAGACAGGAACCCGGGGTTTGGACGGAGAGCTGGGACCCGATTCACGTGCCTGACTGCTGCCAAAGCTTCAGGGAGCGGCCAGGAGCACAAAGACCCTTCACCTCTCTCCTCCTCCTCACGCCCCACCCGAACACCACTGCCCCGGAGGCTGGAGAGGAAGGCCGCAGCCTGGGCCTGGTGCTCGGACAGTCCTGGGGCTGGAGGCCGAGTCTCCTCTGCAAACCCGTTTCTGTAAAACAAGGACGGTGGTTCTAGTGTCACCTCCCAGCGCCGCCAGGAGGATTGTGCGCAGGGGTGTCTCAATCCCGCCACTGTTGGCATTTGGGGCTGAAAAATTCTTTGTTAGTGGGCGGGGGTGGGGGCAGGAAGAAGGTGTCCTGGGCAGTATATAGGAGATTTATCGGCACCCTTGGCTTCTGCCCAGGAGAACCCAGCAGCATCCACCCGTAGAGATGTGACAGCCAAACATGCCTGAAGAGACTGCCAAATACCCCCAGGGGGCAAAACGGCCCCTGGTCGTGGATCACTGATTTCATGAACGCAGGGTGCCTAGCACAGGGTTACCACTGAGTCAGTGCTCATTATGCAGGTGGACCCCTGATTGTTATTTGAAGAAACTGACTCCATTCGATCCTCTGCAAGACCCTAGGCTATGACAGTGCAAGTGACTGGTGTCTGCAAATGACAAAGAGCAGTACAAATGGCAGCTGCGCACTAAGGGGAAGGAGAATGAACTGGCTTTCCCCGCCAACTACCACCGGGGGGCATCTCCATGGCAAGGAACCATGTACCCGGCCCCACCCACTCTTTGAGTCTTTAATGAGATGAGGGCCCCGCGGCTGTGACTACCCTGGTGTCATTTTGTATCAGAACAGGCCTGGAGCAGAAACAGGATAGATCCCATGCCAGCAAGGTAGCGGTGGCAGAACCCACCCCACACAAGGCTCAGGAAGCCACGCTTCTGGGCACAAGCAGAAAGAACACTAGCCCGGAAGTCCGGGTTCCGCCCCTGAGTGCATGACCTTGACTAGCTCTGGGCCTCAGTTTACCCCTGGAGCATTTACATCAGCACAGAGCGGTGGTTCTCAACACTAGTGGCACATCGGAATTACCATGGAGAGCTTTGAAAAACACCAGTGCCCTGGGCTCAGTTCCAGCCCCGGTGAACCTGAGCCTCTGGGTGCCAGAGACGATGGCTCCCTTAGCTCTGGGGATGAATCCCCTGCTCTGGAATTGTGGTGGAGTCTTGTTCCCAAGCTGAAAGATCAGAGATGGGTGGAAAAGTGGAACAGAACCAGCTCTACGGGCCAGTTTCTGAAAGTGACAGTTCAGACAGGGCTGGCATCCAACAGCTCCCAGACACTCCTCCACTTGCCGACAGCCAGGCTGCAGCGACAGGGCACAGGAGCACAGGCCAGGGGCCCAGGCCGTGCAGCCATCTGATGGCCCGCCGGACACCTGGTCTCTACTTCGGAGTCTTTGCCCACTGTGCTTTCAGAGAAAATCCTGGCCCCTTAGAAAGTTCGGTTCAAAGGTCCCCCCACCCCTTTCAGCTGGGCCCTTGCAGCTCACGGCTTGTGCCTCCACTCAACAAGAGCTTCAGAAAAAGCGATTTCCATGGGGGAGGGGGTGAGTCCTGGGAGGGCTGGGAGGGCTGGGGTGCCCAGTAACGGCTAGTGAGTTGCAAGGGCTGCACTGACCTGCACCCAGTGGTCGGGGAGAAGGAGGAAGTTAGGAGTGTGGATTGCCTTCCTGGAGCCACGTTCAGGGCATGGCTGAGGCTCTCAGGTGGCAGCACGGTGGGCACTGAAGCCACAGAGAAGGGGACAGGAGACAATGACTCAGGCTCCCTACCTCAGACCAATTGTCTCCTCACTTGCTTGGGAAGTCTCAAAGTTTAAATACAGCAAGTCCCTCACTGCCCGCCCTCCAAGCACAATCTCTCAGCCTCCAGTCGCCATGAGTCACGGAACTGCATGGATGCCCACAGACGGCCCCATCCACAGTGTGGCTGTGCCCCTGGGTCCAGCTATCCGAGGCCTGCCTTCCCTCCCAGCCCAGATCCAAACCCTGTCACCACTCCCAAGTCCCAGAGAGAGGCCACCAAAAAGGCAACAAGGCAAGTCTGACCTCCCACACCCCCCCCCCCCCCCCGAGATGCCACCGACAGGGCCCGGCACACGGCACAGACGAACAGCACGGAACCGAAAGGGGGCCGTCGGAGTTCCAAGCTCAGCTCAGTCTCTGGGCGACCCTGGCCAGCCTCCTGCTCTCCCTGGCTGGCTGTCCCAAGGATCTTTCTGGGCAGACTTCTGTCCCAAACACTGGACCACAGTAAAACCACTCTGGCAAGTACTCATGCCTGCGTTGCAAGCACCATCAAAAACTGAACTGGACGGAGCCGGAAGCCTCCTTCTCCACAGTGCCATCTAAACTGCTGTGGCTGCCCTGAGGTGGGTCCGGCAGCACGCCAGCAGGAGTCTGCCCTGAGAGAGGTGGCACAGTGCTGGGTGGAGGGACAGCCCGCTGCCCCTGTGTGGGAATGCTGCCAGGGGCCAGGGGCCTGCGTATTCCTGACACATGGAGAACTGTGCAGTTTCTAGGAGTCCCTGCCCACCCATCTGACCCCAGGCCCCTTCCAGAGGTCGCTGATGGAAACCTGGGGGAGCTAGAGGGTTGCCTAGAGCTAGACACATCCCAAACCCTGCAACAGCAGTCCCGGGGCCTTCACAGGCCTCCACCACTGGAGACCCCATAGGCCCAGCATACTCCCTTGGTCTCTTTCCGCAGTTCAGGCCAGGATCCCAGGAAATCAGCAGAGAGCAGGACTCACCTCATCCAGTTGGCTTTAGTCTCGTCTGATCCATCTATGGACTTGTAGCGGTTGTTCTTGTCCACGATCTGGAAGACAGAGAGAGAGTCTAGAATGGGCCATTCTGGAGCGAGCTCCAAACCAGGGTCCAGGGCCTGGCCCCACCTACTGCTGCACAGAAACTTCCTTTTGCCTTTTGTCCTCTGCTACGATGCCAGTGCTGCTGTAGGGCTGAACCTGAGCTTGGGTTTGCAACAGTCAAATCTAGCCTCTTTCTTTCTTTTCTTTTTTCTCTCTTTCCTTCCCTCCTTCCCTTCCTCCCTTCCTTCCTTCCCTTCCTCCCTTCCTTCCTTCCTTTAAACCACCGCCCCACCCCCGCCACTGGTTCTCTCGTTTTTGTGGGAGACAGAAGCCAGCACTGGATGACTAGACATGTAGACTTATGTGGTTTGAGAGGGCTCCCCCTCTCTCAAATCTCTGAACGTTCGGGACCCTCAGGGTTTGGGCTGGGCCCCTTCATCTTCTGTAAAACTGTCATTATTTCATCATCACTCTTGAATCAGAGTTCAGCTGGGTATGGAATTTTAGGCAGATTAAGTTTTATTTTCTTTCAGTGCTTTTGAAGATTGCCAAAAAGGCTGTCATAGGCTCTTTAGCAACACGCTCTTAGTCTAATGTTGTCCTTTTGTGGATAATCTGTCTATGGTAAATTTTAAGACGTTCTCTTTATTCTTGATGTTCTGTACCTTCACTATGTGGTTTTGAAGTGGAGATTTACTTTTAAAAAATTTCTGCATTACTTGAGTACATTATTTGATGAGGACTTATATCTTTTTCAATTCTGAAAAATTCTCAGCTGTGACGCTTTTGAGGATAGCTTCTTGGTTATTTTCTCCAGATTCTTGAAGAATTTGTATCAAATGTATTTGGGAGCAGTTCAACCTATTCCCCATATCTTTTAAGTACCCTTTCATATTTTTCTCGCTTTCTCTTTCTGGGCAGTGCTCTGGGAAAATTTCTCAGAACTCTCTTCCAATTCACTAATTCTCTCTTTGACTGTATCCAGTCCAGAGTTTGGCCAGCTATAGAGGTTCTTCCTTTCTTTCCTTCACTTTTTACTGAGTACTTTTAATGCAATGAATATTTTTCATTCCGAGGATTTTAATTGGTTCCTGTTTATAGCCATCTTTTCTTCGTTTGCCCCTTTTTGTTTCATGTCATGTTCATTCTCTTTCCTTTTCTAACACTTTGCTGAAGTATAATTGACATATAATGTACCATTTGATAAGTTCTGACAAATGTGTGCATCTATTATGACAATCAAGAAAATAAACATATCCACCACCCTCAAGAGTTTCCTTGTGCCCCCTGTAATCTCTGGTCAGCTGCATATCTTTTTTGGTGAAGTGTCTTTTCAAATCCTTAGCCCATTTTTGAAATTGTGGGGTTTTTTTTCTTATTGTTGAGCTTTGAGAGTTTTTAAAAGTATATTTTGGAATCAATTTCTTTATCGGATATATGATTTATAAACATTTTCTCCAAGTCTGTGGCTTGTTTATTCATTTTCTTGATGATGTCTTTATAAGAACAGAGGTTTTCAATTCAAACAAACAAAAAAACCACCCTTCCATCTTTATCTTTTTAATGGATACTCTCCTTTCTTTATTCCTTTAAGGATCCTCAGGCTGTGGCTGCTAAATACCCCTCATTATCTATTATCCCCTGTGTCCACTATAAAAAAAATCCTGAATTATAACTGAACACCTGGCTACCTATAATAACAGAACACATTTTTTGGCTTCTCCTCTATCTAAGTTCTGGCCAATAAGGACGTAGGTGAAAAGTGTCATGTGTCAGCTTCCTGAAAATTTCTTCAAAAGACAACTGATACATGCCCTTCTACCATCCACTGCCTGGAATGCAGATGTGATAGCTGGAGATCTAGCTATCAACTTGGACTAATGAGGATAATCCAAGCATTGAGGTAGTGAAGAGCTAAATCAAGCTTCATTTCCTGAGGACTTGGTTACTCACAGTCCAGTCTACTCCTGGTAGAGACCCAAACGGTTATTTTAAATTCATCTTGAGAATACTCTACTAATTTTATTGTAATTAGAGTGAATTCATTTGTCATTGATTTCTGGAGTCTTTTTTACATCCATTTTCTTCATTAGTTTTGCAGATTCATTCGGTCTGGAGGTTCATTTTGAGTGGGTGTCTGTCTGCCTATCTCTCTCTCCCTCTCTCTTATTTTAAGTAGCCAATCCGCTCCACTCTCCACCTCACACGGGGCACTTCTTTTTCACATTGCTCTCTAGTAGCTACAACTCACCGCCACCCTGCCTGCTCTGGACTGGAGCCCTGTAGGCCTTTGTTTTCAGCTCTGTGATCATTTTGCATTTCTCTCTCTCTCTCTCTCTCTCTCTCTGGCGGGTGGTGGGGGGAGTCCTCTCACTGCAATATGTTTGTTGGTTGGCAGGGTGGGCTGGGGCTCAAAACATAAACTCTCCATCCCCCTGGACTGGAGGTCCCCTTGTTCCCCCCACAGACCTTCTTACCTATACTCTTTCTATGGATATTCGCATCCATTCCGAGATTCTCAATTTGTTCATTACTCACAAATTTTTTATTGCAAGCTCCAGATGTGAATATCTAATTTCCCATAAGACATCCCTGCTTGGATGTCTCATGGGCATCTCAAACTTACCTCAGGCCTCACCCCTAGGCCGTACCTCTCTCATTTTCCCCATCACAGTACTAGAAACCACCATCCACTCAGATTTTAAAAAGAAAGTCACCTCTACCAAAAACCACTGAGTAATGTACTTTAAATGGGTGAACTCTATGGTATATGAAACATATCTCAATAAAACTGGTTTTTAAAAAAAGAGTCACTCTTCATTCCTCCCTCTCTCAAACCACATCCACCCCCATCTCTGATCCCTCAGCAAGTCCTTCGAATCAGATTTCAAAAACGTACCTCTCCAGTGCCTCCTGCTTCCACCCTGGTCTAAGCCCAACATCACCTCCTGTCTAGAGCACCACAGGAGATCCGAGCTAACCTTCCTGACGCCACTCTTAACTCTCCATTGATTCCCCTCAAAGCAGCCAGAGGGCTCTTTCATCAGTGTAAGTCACATAGTGTCACTCTCCAGCGCAAGGGGGCATCGAATGCACTTACAATAAAACTCGTACTCAGGGTCACAGCCTTCAAGATGGCCTGGCGCTCGGCCACCTCCCCAACTTCTCCTGAGCCTCTCTCTCCCTTTACGTTTCTGTAGCCCTAATGGCCTGAGAGTAAATGTTTACTCTGGTCAGGTCCGCTGCCTACGACCTCTTCTCCCCCATTCTTAAAAAAGTAATAATCATGAACTATTTCAAGCACCCAGAAATTATAAAGAATGATGTAGCTGATAACCTGGTACTCATCAGCTATAGCCAACAAAAATCACCACCAGTCATATTCATCCCAGACCTCTGCTTTCTCTTGCTGTAAGAAATTACCAAGATGTAGTTGAAGACCATTGCTGCCTCCAACTCATTCTCCTATTCTCCCTCCCTCCAAGGGTAACCACCTTCCCGAAGCTGGTAGGGAGCCTCCCCATTTTTACTCTACAAGGATTGTTCTAAAAACAATGTACAGAACTGTTTTCGCATGTTTGTAAAGTTCACAGAAATGGTTTTGCATACTTTTCCTACTCAACTTTGCATGGCTGGTCCCTTCTTATCTTTGGGGTCTCAGAAGACGCTCCTCCTGGCCTGAACTTCGAGAAGTTTCTCCCCTGCTGCACCTTGACCTCCACACACCTGCCCCCATCCAGCATTTTCTGTGACATCATCCTGTTACAATTTTTTAGGAGATCTACTTACAAGGTGCATTTTTGTTAAGAATGGTGTTTATCTACCTGTAGATTTGGTAGCTGACTGTCTTCATCACTAGACTACAAGCTAATGAAGACGAAATACACCGTTCCTAACACAGTGCATGGCATATGGTACAAGATTGGTTGAATGAAGGAATTATTGGATAAAGAATCTTTTAAGGAAAAATCAAGTTAAAGAAAAAATTCAGAGAATGTTACTATTTTAGTAAAAAGGAAATGAGTGCTGTGCTGGAGCTGACTTGTACTGGCTAATGAGAATCGACTGTAAAATTTTCTAAAATTTCATGATCCAGCTGTTAAACCCAGCCATTATTAAAAATGTTATATAAACTTACAATTGAATTAAGACATATTTTTTAAAAGGTAATAAATACTCAAAGCTTACTACTTCCTAATAATTTTCCTACGTTTTACTATTATCTATATTCTTGAAGGCGCCGGTATCTAGAAACACTATGTAATAGTTGTGTAGCTCTCTTCCCAACCGCTCGTTCAGTGCCTTTATGTCGGTAGCTTGAAATCAGCCATGGCGGGAGCATTTACGCCCAGGAAATCGGCACACATAACTCCCCACCACCACCACCCCGGCAGCAGGTTATTAAGCATCCTGCTATGCCTGTGCTTTTTTAAAAGATTCTATTTATTTATTTCTACAGAGAAGGTAAGGGAGAGAGGAATAGAGGAAGAGAAACATCAATGTGTGAGAGAGACATCGATCAGTTGCCTCTCCTACGCGCCCTCAGGGATGGAATCTGCAACCCAGGCCTGTGCCCTGACCAGGAATCAAACTGGTGAGCGTTTGCCTTGTGGGGTGACGCTCAACCAACTAAGCCACACCGGTCAGGGCTATGCCTATGCTTATATGTGCATGGAAGGTCTGGGAGATACAGCTCTCTGGCAAGGAGGAGAGAGGGAAGGGGGACAAGGCTTTTGCTTTGTCTACTTATGAGACTACACTGCCTTGTGGTTTAAAATTCTGAGACAAAAAGAGAAAACATGCAGCTCAGGCTTCTCCCTGGCAGTCTCCCTAAATGATGCCCCAGCCTTTGAGGACCCTCCCCTAGAATCTCATAGAACCCTGTCCTTTATCATAATCCTAATCACCCTCCATTATCATTTTCTGACTGGTCCTCTCCTGGGGGCAAAAGAGAAGCATCTGTAAACCTGGCAGCCAATAGCAGGGGCACCTGGTGGGTGGTAAGAGC